GGTAAACCCACCACACCAAATGCATGCTAATAATTTTTAGACGAAGACAACATTATCTAATGCATGATGCATTATATGAAAATATTATTGTTTGTTACACATTTCAAGCACGCATTAGTGATATTAATTTTTGATAATATCATAATGTTTGGGGTAACGAGAGCTTCATTTAGAGACCAATATTGATGTGATTTAATAAAATAAGATATATTATTATCATAAAATATTTAAGTTTTTGTTGCTGTGGAAATATTTTGGCATATTGGTGAATATTTACGGATTGGTTATTACGATACGGGAACATGTGGATATATGTGGATTAACCCTTGTGATATGAAAATAAATATGTGTGGCTACATAGACTGACCAGTGCGGCTCTGCCACCGGCAGGTGATATTTAATGGTAGCCAACAAGTCAACTGTTGAAATATGAAAAATCATTTGAAATGGTCGAGCAGTGTATGCACTGAAATAGACAATACAAAAGAAGATTTGAAGAGAACCGGTCAGTGTATTCAATAATGATGACCGGTGATGGCCAAATGATAAACATATTTATTAATGATAGTCGGTGATATGGAATGGCCAAGTGGCAAGGCCACGTGCAACAAATGAATGGCTATATATATGGGCCGGCCAGTGCGGCTCTGCCACCGGCGACAGGCAGTACTAATAAGTGATAGCCGATGAGTGAAATTAATGATACTTTGTATCTGGCCATGTGAAAGTTAATTAAAGTCCTTGTCGTGAACAAACCTGATCCTGAAGTATCAGTTGATAAACTCTCCAAATTTATGGAGATATAAATACTGATGAGTTGGTACCAGAAGTTACCACATGATTAATGTGATGTCGGAAGTTACGACATAATGATTAAATGATATCCTGGTATAGTGGTACTGAAAGCTACCACGTTATGATTAAACAAAGTGATGAAATGGTACTAGAAGCTACCATTGGATGATTGAACAAAATAAGAAAGTGGTACCAAAAGCTACCAGTTATGGATGATCACACAAAATGATTTCTCAATATATATTCAATGAGTCTAAGGACTATATCAGATCGTATTGAGATACGAGATCATACAGATATTACAATAAAGTGGCTCCAGAAGAAGCACATATGATAATGATTGTATTCATGAAGTACTACACACTTATCTTGAGGAAAAGCGAAATTGATATATTATTACTGGAAAACAAGTACAAAATATTCAGATGGTGGAAATATGGAGAAAAGGCAGTAAATGCTCGATGAATACAAAATACGCAAAGATTACATAATAGAACCCATAAAAGAAGGGTGGGTGCGTATCGAGAGTGTAAAACTCCGTAACTCTGCCACCCATGAATGATATCTGGGTTCATAATGAGAGATCTAAATGATCAAAAGCTCTTTTTCGCTTAACCCCTTGTGTTCCACATAATCTTGAAATGTGATGCATTCCTGAAGCTTTATGATAAGTTCAGCAGACGTGTCAGTAGATTTGAATACTTCTCTCATTGAAGAAGATATAAAGGTTTGATATACTCCTATGTCCAAAAATCCTAGCATTGAAGGAGATATAAAGGTTTGATATACTCCTATGTCTAAAAATCCTAGCAAACCATGAAAGAAGTTATTAACATTCAATAGACTTATAGGCTTATTATGAAGTTTCAATTCCGCCCAAGAAGCAATGGTAAACATTGTCATTAACGTTCTATAACCGACTGAGAGAATGATAAAAGCATTGCTATTGTTTACTATATCCATCATATAATCATAAATAGAATGAGTTAGCATCATGCTTGTGGAATCCTTGACGACTCTGGTTGAAGCTCTACGAAAAAGTATGATACTTTTCACTTCTATCTCAAAACATTGTCCAGCCATTAAGAGACTATCAAAGAAAGCATTGCTAGTTCCTCCATACAGCAAATTGATTTTCTGATTCCCCATCTCTTTTGCTAACTGACTTACAATATCAATAGTTTGAGAAAAACTTACCAGTTTAGAACCACCAAGAACACATATGGTTTTGATTGGTTGAAGAAGATTATTACCTTTCGAAGACTCTGAAACATCCATCTATTTATTGATAAACTTAATTTTTCAAAACTTTGTGATACATATGATTATGATGAACGACTCGCTATTTAAATAGAAAAACTTTACAAAACGATAAATAATTTTATTGTTTTCTTCTAACAACTGCAACTGACAGATAAGGTGTTGGGTTTTAAATAAATCTTATCTGTCGGCAGCTATAAGGATTTTTGTAAAATTACAGTACAACCTACTAAACTGTATTAGTATGATTTTTCGTACTAACAAGACCAGTTTTACAAACTTGATCTTTTGAAATAATATTTTCGAGACTATAACGTTCTTCTTCACTTTTGAACTGAGTCCATAAAGACATAAGCTCACGATGCACATACCCACTAGGATGTGTCTCAAGAATCTGTTGAATCGTTTGATCCAAAGCTTCCTTACTCAATCCATCCTTTATAAATGTTATTTATCTTCTCGATTTTTGGACACGTACCCCACAGATTTACATCGTGTGTCACAAGTCCATCGAGCGCATTTGAAGTATCCACCTAATCTTTTTGCTCCTCGTTTCTTTGCAAAAGTACTCTTACCCATACCTGGCATATATTTCTATGAATTTGAGAACTCTCCAGACAATCGAACTTGTGCTTCGATCAACCATCGAACATCATTGGAATACCATTATTCATTAGCACCCTCAATCTCTCTAATCGAGATCGATAAATCCTTTTTATGATATTTTTCGGAAGAAAAGAATAATATTTACGGATATTTGAGAGTGCTAAATCCATTTGTAAATTCGGACCTTTGTTAAGGAAATTTGAATGAATTACCTGATAATTTATAGAAAAATATGATGCGTATGAGATACGACTTTGGACTTAAACAATGTTCAAAAGTATGTGTGTCAGACGGCATGACACGATTCTGGATTTAAACAGTGGCTAAAAGATATTGTGCCAGAGCCTACACTTAAAGTGCATTTATTGCCGCCGAAAGATGATGTGAAATGTTTGTGATAAACGTGTCACAATGAATTATTGTGATCACTTTAAAAATGTTTACTGGTATAAATCATGATGATGGTTTGCATGATTAACTGATGAATTTGTGATATGAGATGCTTCGTTCTCGATTGGTAAAAGTTATTACTAGCTAAATATTTATGAATCGATATTTGATCAGTATGAGTATGAAAGGGGTATGATATAAATATATGGGCCCACTATCCCTCCATGTGTGCTACTAGATATTATGGATCCACTAGATAGCCACATGTGTGTGATACGTAACTTAAAGTTACGGGATGATTTGATCAAATAATGGATATATGACATGTAACCTGAAGTTACGAGATGATTTGATCAAAGATGTGTATATGACACGTAACCTGAAGTTACGAGATTGTTTGATCAAAGAATGACGCAAGATGGTTATGAAAAAATGAAAATAAGTGTCATATGAAAGTGATGAAGCTAGTAATATACTCAGTTGATATGATGAACTCTTGAAAGAAAAATGTGCACATTACAAGTGATATGAGTTCAAAGTTCTCCTATTATATGTTGAAATCGAGAACGAAATAGAGATTATATGAACTCTCCTCAAGAAATTCAATACTAAAAAATATAGATCAGAGATCTGTTAAGATGAGGGGGAGAATCAATGATTGGAATTTGGAAATGATATATGCATGACACTGAAAGTGTGCAAATCATAAACTGAATGATACTGATGATGGTGAAATATATGAAATGATATGATGGTGGAATAATACGCTGGAAGCGTTGGTATTGTGCAAATTGAAATTTCCTAAATATGTGATGAAAGAAGGCATATATATACTATTGATGAAATCAGTTGATAATGAGATATCTCAATATATTACGGGGAATAATGGAAATGAATAAGTGTCAACACAAATAAATGAATAGTGCTATATAAATGATATTGACGAAAATGAAATCAACTGAAATGTGAATATTAGGAACTATTGGCAGTAAAACCATTGAAATCAATTGATGTTGAGAATGAGTTTAAGAATAAAAGTTGCACAAAGCATGATATGACATATTGTCATGAATACCATCAGTATTTGAAAATATGAACGAATTTATATGATACTCATACAAAGTATGGAATGATTATTGTGGTGAATATATGAAATATGCGTTGTACTCTTTTTTCCTTGGCTAAGGTTTTGTCCCATTGGGTTTTCCAGCAAGGTTTTTAATGAGGCAACAGGGATGGCGTATTCACATGAATAGTGTACTCTTTTTCCTTCATTAGGATTTTGTCCCACTGGGTTTTTCCTAATAAGGTTTTAACGAGGCATATTCATGGTATGATGAGGACTACTGGATAAACGATATGATTCCTCACAATGACAAATGAGACTGGAGTAGCTGTACTCTTTTTTCTTCGATCAAGTTTTTTTCCACTGGGTTTTCTTGACAAGGTTTTAACGAGGCAGCACGTGGACACTCCACTAAAGATGATCTATTTGAGGGGGAGCAATATTGTGTTTCCACAATGCTCGGGTTTTGTCCCACCGGGTTTTCCTGAGGAAATAATGTTATGATTTCACGATGATCAGGTTTTGTCCTACCGCGTTTTCCTGAGGAAACAATGTTATGATTTCACGATAATCACTCAGAAAGTTGAAAATTCATGTACTCATTCATTCACAATCCATTCACTACAATAATGTACCAAAACCATCATTTTGTAGGATGTATAACCTTACCATATATAATAGTTTTGTAAGGGAGGCATTGCATTTTTTTTTTTGGTAACTGACTTTGTGCATCTTTATAATTAATCATGGAATTTATGAAGATACAATTAAAATTTGCACCATCGGACAATTCCAATTATTTCTAATAAAACTTCTATGGAGCTATCAGATAATTATCTTATGGAGTCATCCATCACTTACGGTATTGACAGAGTAGTTAGCTCACACACATAAAAAAATCAACCCATAATTGTTCAAAGCGGAAAAAAATAACACATCCAATCACTCTACTGCTCGGAAAAAATAAATAACACATCAAATCAACAATCAAAAAACCTGGAATATCTCAGCAGCAGCCATCCAACATGGAGAGTTCGCATCTATTAACTGGTCTTGCATCCTTACAAGCAGATACATAATTTATTATCCTCAATTTTTTTTTTTAAAGAAAAAAAAAAAAAAAAAAGAATAAATTGCCCCCGCCTTACGGGTACCAATCAACTGTGCAAGTATCATTGGAAAGAACAACAAAAAGCTTATTTCCAACTAACAAAAACTTCAAATTCAGGCATTAATTGGTTCGGGCTGCACAGCTTTCTGGACAATTTCATTTTGCTCTTTGACGTGAACTTGGTAGAATCCAGTCGCAGTAGCTGCAGAAGGCCCACGGCCCACATACTTGACTTCATCCACAGTACCTCTGCCCAAAGCTTTCATGGCAGTAGCAAGTCGAGGCAAAATGTAGCTGTATGCACCCATGTTCATTGGCTCTTCCTGGCACCACACAACCTCCGCATCTGAAAGAATCACACCAACAATTAAGACAAACATTTAGGTATGAATATGATTTATGTAGTTAGTCTGGTCATAAATGAGTATAAATAAGACTGTGGTACGTACTTGGATATCTCTTGAGTTCACGTTGGACGAGGTCATATGGGAAGGGACAAAGCTGTTCCACCCTACAAATTGCAAGGTCCTTTCCATTTGTCTTTTTCCTCTCCTCGTCAAGCTCGTAATAAATCTGCAGATACACCAGAAATATCATTCTTGTGAGAACTGTAATAATATAAGAAACCAAAGTGATTGGATATTGATATTTTTTCGAAAAATTTGTCTCGTTTGAAAATAGAGATGGAAATGTGAAAAGGGTTGTTATATACTCAAGCTCGTGAATAAAACATGTCCCCTCCCAATAAGTTCAGTGTTTTTTCACTTTTAAAATGTGTGAAACTGGCCGCAACGGCCAATCGTAAACAGTAACTGAATAGCCAAACTACGGTTCCCGATTATGGTTTTACTGGAACAGTTAAACAGTTAACTGAACCGTGGACTGAAAGTTCAAAATGCCAGTTTGGCGGTTCGAGAACAAATCTGCTTCTTTATGTTATGGACATAAGATACGAATAAAACTATTAGAAGTGACGAGATATAGAAATAATAAAATATAATTTTATAATGATTGTATTAGTTAGAAACATATGAGTTGATGAAGAGGTTTTTTTGTTGGAAAATATAAAATAATGACTCCTTTATTTTTAATTGGGTTTGTATGATTGTAGAGAAGAAAAGTGAATATAATGAATGACCTTTTTGTTTCCATTAACTTCTTCAATGAGATAAATCTTTATTGATCATACAAAATGAATTTATATCCAATTGCCACCAATGATCAAGCAAATAATTCTTTTACTGCAATGACACAACACTACAATTAACTCAGGTCAAAAAAATTCCTGAAAGACACAGTTATCATATTTTAAAGAGAAATTATCTATATAGTATAGCGAAAGACAAAATGGCGTGATGAAAGGGTATGAATTAATAAAGCAAGAGCAAAAGTTATTTCGTACCTTCCCAGAGCAAAGAATCAAGCGTCTAATACCCTCTTCGCGATCTGAGTGATAATTTTGGTCTTTAATCAAGCGTTTAAACCTGGTTCCTTGTTTATCAAAACCTGCATGGCCTTCAACATCATCGAACTCGGACAAATTAGATTTGCAGTCCTTGTGACGGAGTAAGTTCTTTGGCGACATCACAATGAGAGGTTTACGGAATTCCCTATGTATCTGTAGCATTAAAAGGCGATGTGAGAAAACATGAACTTCTTTAGTAGCAAACAGCTAAAAAAAAAAAAAAATCATATATCTACCTGGCGCCGCAAAACATGGAAATAATTCGCTGGTGTAGTCACGTTAACGACCTGCCAATTGCATTCTTGAATCTGTTTCCTCAGTGTTGGGTCCATCTCAGGGATAACATACGGGTTATCATCGCTCATCTGTAATGGAACATGGAAGGTCAAATTTACATGGCTGAATCGAAACAAATTAAGTACCCGAAGTCAAAGAGAATGTGATGTCAGTTTTGAAAGGTGGAAAATAACAGAATATGCAACATTCACAAAAATACAAGTTTTCAGTTTAGCATCAGAACAATTAACCAAATCAATTCAACTGGCATGAATTTAGTTGAAAACCAAAATGTGTTATCCCTGGAGATCTCAATAGAGATAAAGAACAGATCTCTCTGATGTATTTTTCCTCAACAGCTGAAAGAAGCACCAAACTCAGAAAGTCACTAAGGCAAGCAAGCTTTAAGAGAATAAATTACAAAGAGGGAAGGAAGAAAGTTCATTTCCAGGCAATGTTTTACATGTGTGAGAGTTTGTGACATAAAAGAAGAAAATTCAACCACATAAATTGCAGAATAATAGAGATAAAAATAAAAAATTAATTTTAAAAAAAAAAAAAAAAAAAAAGCAAAGACAATACCTGAAGATAGCGCTCCAAGCGCGCACTCGAGTGCTCTGGGCCTTGCCCATCATACCCGTGAGGCAGGAGGACAACTAAGCCAGTTTGACGCAGCCATTTGGCCTCCCCACTGCTCAGGAATTGGTCAAATATCACTTGAGCACCATTGGCGAAATCACCAAACTGGGCTTCCCACAGCACCAGAGAATTGGGATTTTCCATGGAATAACCTATTTCAAATCCCAAAACTCCAAACTCTGACAACGAGCTGCATAGGCCAAACATTTATCACAAAACTTACCCAAAATAATACAAAGTTCTCAAAGTAGAATGGGATCCTTCTAGAAGCCAAAGTATTTCTATATGCATGAATAAGGGAATGACACTATGTATCAGAATATTAGTAGAGAAAGAATGATAATGCAACCGTACAAGTAATTTATATCCAGCAATCGGTCAACATGATGAACAAATTCAGTCTTAGCCTTCAGAGGAATGTAGCTTATGGCTTAAAGAGCAATAGAGATCTCGACATAGGTACAAATTAATCAGACCAAACATTAAAGGTATCTAAACAAAGGTAGCACCACCTTTACTACATTTATGTGTGTAACATACAATGGATCGCATTGATTAGGATGATAAAGTTAAATTTTAAGAGGATTTAAGTTTTGAATAAAACATGTCCTTCCAAGAACATATTCCCCATTTCTTTCCATCAACAGCCAAACAATGACTTGCCCCCACTGACCAGTTAAAAGCAGAAACTGCCATATTCAGTTGATGAAATAGCATGAATATTATATTTTTTAATCAGGAAACAATAGTGCTGGGACACAATGCTATAGACTGCATGTTCATGAGTTTCATATATTATTAACACATCTGAATCAACTGAAAGCTTTTGAGCAGATGATATGGATCATCTTTAAGAGACACATCAATATACATATATAATTTCCATATTAACTTGTATTTCCCTGAGTTAATTATCAGAACACCCACACTCACACAGAAGTTGAGCTCCAAACCACAGATAACCTGAGTTTGATGTTTCATATATATAAGCTGGTGCACGAAGGCTTCGAAAAATACCTGTTGCTCACAGTAAACATCTCCTCATTTTGGTTCATGGTAACATGATCCAGGGGGCAGTATCTTTCTCCTGTTTCCTGATCATGAATAACAGAATGCCTATGGCTGAAAGTACCTCGCTCAACATCCTGCCCACTCAGCCTGACATGATTTCCCTCCACAACCAAAGTTGCAAAAGCGAGAGCTTCACCAACTGCCCAGTCAATACCCTCCCCTGTCTCAATCATTTTTGCACGGTCTTCAAAAATCCTCTTAACAGCTCTATGAGGTTTGAAATTTTCTGGAAGCCTAGTAATAGCCCTGCCAACATTCTTTAATATTTCTGGATTGACCCTGCACAACAGATTGTTCAGTGTCCAAAATCCAATGAGCAGTAATGAACTAGATATTGAACTAGTGAGTTGATTGTTACCCAGTGTTACGGATACGTGAAAGCTGTTCAGGAGATTTGAATCCAGCCCAATAAGCTGAAAGCCAGTCCCTTCTTTGAGGTACATAGTCTTTGCTGGCCAGGAACTCTTCATTGAGAATTGACGTCACTTTGTTGTTTACCTGATCAATGTCTTCTTTTGTGACGTGACCAGATTCTAGAAGTTTCTTCTGGTAGATCTCAAGTGCTGAAGGATGATTCCTTATAACCTAAAAAAAGGAACAGCCTGGAAGTTAGACAGGTTTAAGAAAAAAATAGTAATAATCTACATTTTGCGAAAAAAATAATTTAGGGGAAAGAAAGGAACGATTGGACTCTATTGAAAAAAAAGCCTGTTCACAAGAATAAAAGAAGGTGAGTTATTGTACATGCCTTGTACATTTTAGGTTGAGTGAAGGATGGCTCGTCAATCTCGTTGTGCCCAAAACGACGATAGCATACAATATCGACCACAACATCAGTATGGAACGTTTGACGCCATTCAGCAGCAAGTTCACAGGCATGAACAACAGCCTCTACATCATCACCATTGACATGAAAAATAGGAGCACTCAGAGCTTTCGCAACGTCAGTACAATACTGGGAAGATCTTCCCGATTTCGGGTCAGTAGTGAAAGCCACTTGATTGTTCACAACGATGTGAATGGTCCCACCAGTAGTGTAATTCGGGAGAGCACTGAGATGCAAGGTCTCGTAAACAACACCTTGACCGGCAAAACTACCATCACCATGAATCAAAATACCCATGTTTTTCGTCCTTTTGGTGTCATTAGAATAATATTGCTTAGCTCTAGTCTTCCCAACCACAACTGGGTCCACTGCTTCCAAGTGGCTGGGATTTGCAACTAACGACAAGTGAATTCTCTTACCACCCCTCGTTGGCCGATCGTAAGAAGTTCCCAGATGATACTTAACATCACCAGTTCCCGTGTAAAGCCCAACCTCATCCACAGGTTTTGTGCCACCACTAAACTCGCTAAATATCTGCCTCAAAGGTTTTCGGACAACATTACCAAGAACATTCAGCCTACCTCTGTGCGACATCCCAATGACTATGCTCTCAACCCCAAGATCTGCTGCTCTGTCAAACATCTCCTTCATACCAGGAATCAAAGTCTCACAACCTTCAAGCCCAAACCTTTTGGCTGCAGTCCACTTGGCTGCCAAGAAGTTCTCAAATTGGGTGCTCCAAATAAGCCGGTCAAGGATCACCTCACGCCTCTCTCGACTGTACTGAGTCGGAGTAGGAGTCTCGATTTTGTCTCTTAACCAGTTACACTTTTCGTGATCGGCAATATGCATGTACTCATACCCGATATTTCCACAGTAAGCTTGTTCAAGCCTCGTCAATATCGCACGCAAGGTTTGAACGGGACGATTCTCAGACAAGAACCCAGCCATTCTCCAAACACCGACAAAGAACTCTCTGTCAAGATCAGCTTCCGAAAACCCATGAAGTGCTGGATCCAAATCATCAGGAACAGATCTCTTCTCCAAACCTAGAGGATCTAATGTGGCCTTCATGTGACCATAAACCTGGTAAGCTCTCACGAGCAACAAAAGGCGCATGCTCTCTTGAATCGTTTGACCAGAGATTCCAGGAGAAGTGGTGGCCTGGCCAACAAAGTTTCTGAAAAAATTGTCCCATGATTCATCCACACTATTGGGATCTTGCTCCCAGGCTCTCTGTAGCTCCTCGAGATAAACACTGCTTGTGCCATCTAAAAAGCTATCAGTCAGCCGGGAGAGTGGGACAGGACGTGGAACGGGTGCCGATTGAGCCTTTGACCGGAAAACAGTCGTGTGAAAGTATCTATTTTGTGTAGAAGGCCCGACATAAGATCTACTTTGTGATAAAGCTCGTCTAACGGCAAGCTTTGACAAATTAGACCCAGCTCTAAACCACGTCATTTCTATTTTACCTAATCAAGGAAGTAAAACTGCAGCTGAAAAAACCCACGCTTTTACGAACAAATCAAGCCCTTTGAACTGTTGCTATTCCTTCCAGAAAACCTAATCAAACAAAAAGGAGACTGATTAAAGCATTTGAAAATCAAATCTGAGAAATAAATTAATTTCGTTGAACTAGAAGAAATGTCATCAGCACACGTATGATACAGAGCAGCTTCGACTGCAAAAGCATACAAGAGTAGTGATAATATTCACACAAACAATTTTTGGTTTTTTTTCATAATTCCCAACTCCAAAGAAAAAGGATCGNTAAAAAAAAAAAAAAATAGGTGCAGAAAATCGAAGATTATGTACACGAAAAGAAACATCTTTGGAAGTAAATAAATCAGAGGCACAATAAGATCAAGAGCTCGACAGCATAAAATACGAACAATTCATACATTAGATTCGTCAAGACCAAACACTCGTGATCATATGAATGAGTAGAAAAAGGGGACGACGAACTTACATTCATGTTGAAAATGTACGCTGCGAAATGCGAATAATGTAGAAGTGTAGAGATTTGAGGATAATTTTATTCGTTGTGTGAATTAGGTACCTGTCTCAGAACTCGCGTTAGCCCTTTCATCAAGAAAAACATTGGCACGCTATGGGCTTAGCCCATTAGTTTATGTTAAAATATTTCTGGGTTGGGCCAATTAGAGGACGAGATAATGATGTCTTATGACTAGTTATTTAGTTTATTTATTTATTTACAAGTCATTATAGGATGCTTGGATACAAATTTATCTAAGAAAATTTCAATCATTTTTAACTCAACTACTTTTTTTAACTCAATCACACTATCGTTAATATTATCAATATAATTAAAGAATATCAACCAATCATTCTTATACATCACATAAACTTTAATTCATTATTCATTCACTCACATAATTTTAACTAACCATCACTTTAAACCATCGATCTTCTACTTTTACATCAAATCAACTTTAATTATTTTATTTTAAATATTATTTTAATATACCCATTAACAACTAATCATACACTTTTTTCAAAATTAACCAAACCAAATAAAAAATCCAAACAAATCTAAAATTTTTTATATCAAGCATTATATCTTTATTTTTGGTTTGAGAAAATTATATCCCTGACCACCACTTAACGTTTTTCTAAATTTTACCGTTGTTCTACTTTTATTTGCAAACCTTCGAATGTTTGATTAATATTTAATTAATAATTGATCTTTATATTTAGTTCTCATAACAATTCTACTTTCTCTCATTCATTTTTCGTCTCCCTTATCTCTTTATTTATTCTATATCTATTTAATCTCACAAAGGNTTTCTGGATTTTTTCTCAAATCGAAGACCACTCTCCCCAATCCCCCTTTTGACAAGCGGCGTCTGAGAAGGGTCGTGACTGTTGTGACCATTTTTGTTACGTTTTTCTATATTATTTTGTCGTTCATTTTCCCCCGTTTTAGGTCTATTTGTTAGTTCATTTTATAGTTTATTGTGTGTTTTGTTCTATTTTGGCTTTTTATATGTTTTTCGTGTATTTTGTCGTTTTTCTACATTTTTCTTCTTGTTTTTAGTGTGCAGGTTGGAAGCCCCGTGAGGAATCGATTTAGCTCGAAAATGGGTCGGAAAATCATGTTTTGACAGATGGATTTCTTAGCTACACATAGGAAAAAGCGAAATCCAATTTTGAGTTCGGACGAGTCCGGACGGGCCCAATATGCAAATTCGTGCATGGAAGCCGTCAACATGGAGTCAAAAGCTTTGGGCGAATAAGTTTTGAAGAAGAAGTTGAATTTGAGAATACAAATGCATAGAGGGCTTCGTTGGCTACATGTAGAAAAAAAACGGAATCGAATTCCGAGTTCGAAAGAGCTCGAACGAGCCTAAAACGTGAAGCCGCGCATGCAGTCGCGAGTAAAGCCGCGAGTCGCGAGAAGTACCGCGAGAAGCAACAGTTTTTCTGCACGTGAAAGTCGCGGCCGCGGAGCATGTCGCGGCCGCGTAAATTGTTGTAGCACCGCTAGGTATGGGATAGCACCGCTAGGTAAGGGCTAGCGCTGCTAGCCCCCCCTAGCGCCGCTAGCACACCCCTACTGGCGCTAGCCCCTGTTGGCAGACAACTTCTTTTTCTTTCCCTCAAACTCCAGCCTGTTTTGATGGTGCTCGAAAGTGGGGAGCCTTGGACCAATATTTTCAGCTGAAAACCTGGTTGTCGTGTTGGAAAAGAGTCCACTACTCATGGTCTTCCATTTCTTCTACAAAAGGGATCATCATCATCACCAAAAATCACCTTTGATGCATTGAACCAAGGGGGTTCTCCCCCATTTTTTCCTTCTCAATTTTTCCATTTCTCCCTCTCTTTCTTCTTGTGTTTTCTTTAATATGTCTTTTGGATGAAGCTTGTATTTGAAATCAACACTTGGAGATTGATATGTAAGTTTAATTTCTCTTTGAATTAATTCATGCATAATGGTTAATTTAGGAAAAATACTTTGTTGTGTTGAATCAATTATGAGTAGCCAATCCTCTAGCTAGGGTTAAGGGATAATCATTCCGATTTGTTCTCGTTTACGTGCATGACGATAGCTCAATCTTGACGAGTTGTTTTAATTTGGAATTGATAAAATCATACTCGATAAATGGTTATAACCTAAGAGTAACACTTAGGTTAATTATTGATATAATCAAAGGGTGACACTTTGATTTGTGATTGAATATTTAGTTGTTGAGTTAGAGTTTGTTAATTCTACGAATTGCGACTTTTAGAACCGAAAGGGGAGGAGTCGTAGAGATAATCGATCTCAAAACCGAGAGGGGAGAAATTGGTGGAATTTGGCTCGTTTAGAGTAGACATGTTCGGAGACGTATTGTCTATGTGTTAATTGTTTCGTTAATTCGCTCATTTATGTTTATCAGCGTGTTCGGAGACGTATTGAGTTTAAACCGCTAAATGAGTTAATTAGTCGAATCTTTTAACCGAGTTATTGATTGCCGTTAAATGTGTGTAGAATCGGAAGCGATTATTCCCGATACCCTAAGTCGTTTATCTTTTTGTCGTTTATATTTTTAGGTAGATTATCGTTTTATGTTATTTCTTAGTTCATAAATCTCCAACCCTATTATTGATTAGAATGTTTAGGATTTATTTTGCTTTTATGTCTTATCGATACCACTTCTAAATTTCGAACCGCCTTCCTCGAGAGATCGACCCGGGAAACGAATCATTCGATTCGGTGCTCGGTAAAATAAAAACAATTTGCTACAATAGTGACCAGGTAAGAGCCGCGACCGGAGGTTTGTATGGCGGGTAACTACGGCTAACGACGGCGGATCAAAGATCAACGGTTTTGATGCTTCTCGACGACCCAACTTCTATCTTTACTAGCTATGGCGGGTAGCGACGACGGATCGAATATTACAACGTTTGTCTAGCTACCATGGGACGAGCCTAGTGATTTCGAAATCGAGATTGATTGGCAAAAGAATAGGTTCTGATATAGGACTTGATATTTTTTTAGGTTTATTATTGTAGTTTTATCTTCACGTATGGTTGGTTTTGGCTCAATAGAAAATGATTGATGATGTTTCAGCTGATGATGTTTTTTTAGGTTTATGTATGATTAACGATTGATAATGTTTCAGCTTTTTGAGAAATTTTTATGTTTGATTTATTATGTTGTGGGATATGTCACGTTTATATATATATATATATATATATATATATATATATATATATAGGGGTTGGTTCAAATAAAAACTAGTGCTGGTGTGAGAACCGTGAGAACCGTTTTTGATGCTATTTTTAATTGTGTATGATGCTATTTTTCATATTAGATGATGCTATCATTTTTACAAGTGCTACCAGAAATTGTGTTGCTATTTTTAATAAAATTCATCCTAGTTAAAAATAGCATCAAACACAATCAATCATAGCATTACACACAAATAAAAATAGCGGTTCTCACGGTTCTCACACTAAGACTTGGTTCTCATTTGAACCACATCCTACATATATATATACATATATATATATATATATATATATATATATTTATATTTCAGTATATGTTCCCGTAAGCACAATTGGTAGTATATATTTAGTATATATTTTCGTTGTCCGTGCATCGTGTTTTTCTCATCTGGCCCGTGCTTCATTTGATTATCATATACTCTACATATACTAAAATAATTTATTAAAATAATTATTATGATCAGTTTATGATACGTATAGGATAGGTATATACTGAACAAAAATTCAAATGTCACAATTGTGGTTAGATAAAAATATTATGTAAATAAAAATTCAAGTTATATACTGAATAGATACTGATTAAAAACACAATATATATTGTCTATTAAAAACTATGAGAACTGAAAACCCACAATCTGTGCAATTTAAGGGGGAGGCGGTTACACTTTATTTGGTAACTGAAAATCTCATAATTTAGTATATATCTATAATAAATTAGTATGGAATTGGTAAAGGTGCAAATAAAGTTTGCTCGATGGTAAAATTATAATTTTTTTCCAAATCACATGGTATAAATAAAATTTCGCCGTTTTGTTTGGCTAAAAGACGACTCTATAATACATTAAAAAACAATTTCCAAAAACATGTTAATTCAAAACAATCTCATTTATATGTATAAATATCTTTTCTATTTAAAATCTATCTTCTTTTTCTTCTATGAATTGTTTTCAGATTATTTTAAGTTTATGTTAGATTTATTATATTTTCTCTATAATTTATTGAAATTAAATTTGAAACTTTTGGTTTATCTTAAATTTCTTTTCCATTTTTTTTACTAAATCACGAAAAAAAAAAAACAAATAGACAAAAAAATCATATATAAAATAAATATGAATCTAAAGCACAAATAAGAAAAAAAAAAAATCATTAACTATAGTGGATCGATAAACATCAATTTACTCCCAAAATTGTTTAAACAGAAATATATCACATACTAAAAAACAAACCAAACATAAAATGAATATGAAATCCTTCTTTCTCCCGAGTTTACATCAAGTATATACACAACATAATAAAAATATAATACCGGCGATGGGATCTGCAACACTGTGGGTGGTACGCCCAGCGAGCATCATGATCTCCATGTCCTTGTCAATCGACAGATTGTCGAACACCATGACCAAACCCGCACATAATTTGGTTATCTAGTTGGTTTATGTCTCGTCTGGGTCTCGAGTTGCTAAAAATTTATCTCCAAATTTTCTGATCGAGTTGAAAAAAATGAAAAACAAATAAATATTAAGAAATTAAACCGACGAAATAATAATCAGTCCAATTTGTTTAGCACTTACTATCTTAAATGAACTCACTGGGACAAGGGATCCGACGTGAATTCTCATTCTTGGGCAAAAATTAAAAGTCGTTGTTTCAAAATCAAGGAAAATTGAGCAAAATTTAAATCAAAATCCAACAACTCACAGATCTGAGATTCAAATATCAATCAATGAGACTCCCCAACAAAAAAAAAAAAAAAAGCAAATCAAAATTAATGAAACACTAATCAGTAAGTACACCTTAGGATTTGGAAAATTTACTACACCTTTCCTACTACATGCGTTGCGCCCCTATGGGTTATATGTCGAGCCTCAAAGCAGCAAGCGGTGAACAATAGAGGAAGGAGTCCGAGAAGTGGTGGTTCTGTTCCTGGGTATATTGTCATCAATCGCGATCAAGAAGCTGTTGATCGTATGTTGTACAATGGTTATTTCTTGGATAATCTGTTGTACAATGAGACCATGTTCCATAAGAGATACCGAATGTCTCGCTCATTGTTCCTTAGAGTTTCTGATACAATCAAAGATCATCATAACTACTTCTAGTGAGAGGATAGTGCAGGTAAACTTGGATTATCTACAATATCGAAAATGATTGTTTCTTTTTCAGGTTGGCATATTGTGTTCTAGTAAATACTACAAACGAGTATGTCGAAATTGGAGAGTCTACTGCAATTGAAAGCATGAAAAAGTTTTGTCAAGCAGCGAGCGTTATTTGAAAAGACCCACATCTATTGATATTTCTAGGATTCTTTGTATTGTTCAAAAACATGGTTTTTCAGGAACGTTCGAGAGTATAGACTGCATGCACTGAGAGTGGAAAAATTGTTCTACGGCGTGGGTTGGTAATATGCAGGTATTATTCTTGAAGCTGCATTGAATTAAGATAATTGGATATGACATGCTTCTTTTGGTTTTCTTAGCTCTAATAACGATATCGACCTATTAGAGTCAACTCATATTTTCTCGAATATAACTCATCCAGCTCATTATGTAATTCAAGAAAAGAATATAATATGGATATTTTTTAGTTGATAGCTATATCCAAAATGCTCTACTATTGTGCAAATATTCATGAGCGACATGGTCCACAAGAAAAAATATTTTGCAAATTCTTTTGCAATGAAACAAGAAGAATACAGAATATATGTTGAACGTGCATTGAGAGCTCTTCAGGCACGTTTTTGTTAGAGTAGGATACCCGGCGTTCCAATCAAATTGGACGTATTCTACTTGTAAATACAATCTATTGGAATTATATTAATTAAAAGGCATTACTTTATTTTAAGAGTAAGCATTTATCCTATATTTGCACTTAAGATAAAATCCCTAGATCACATATAGCTATAAGGTATGGTTGCGCATAGAGATGGTGATCATGGAACATACCTTGAAAGCTGTGATCTTAAACACAGTTCCAAGTCGTTGGATGTTTCGAGATGGGATATCGAATAAATCCGAAAAAGACTTGCACATATGATGTATACTTGTTGGATAAGAATGTTGCATTCCATCAACATTAGCGTGGGACGCAAATACATATATGTGGGTGCTTGTTAGAGAACAAGTTCACTGAACATGACCGTATGAAAATTCTTAATGAAAGTTTATCATGTCGAATAAGAATTTTCATGTTACAATAGTACATGACTAATCATTAGACTTGAGGCACGATGGTAACTTTGTGCATATTATATTTTACTTTGATTTATCCTTTTGGTTGCTAGCACAATCGTATAAAGGGATATTTTGGGTGTTATATTAATATGTATGGAAGTTTGTCAGTGGCCAACAAAGGATTCGACACTTATGAAGATAAGTGAATTTCCTATGTGTTTCATAGTTAGTAATTCAAAGTCCTTGGCCAAGGCAGGGTGAATAGAGATTCATACACGAATTACTAAACTTGAAATAGAATCATAGTTATTAAATCAATTTGGGTTTCGACAAAATCATACCCAAGATTTAATCGGGAAATTGGATGTCGAAAGGATTTTACATGTATGGACTTGTAATTGAAATAGGTTTACTCGCTATTCACTTAATACTAGATTCATGCTACTTGCTAGATGTTACCATGATATGTGGATTCTTGAATTAAGGAGTTAATTCATGAATAAGAGTTAATTTGATTAACTCAAATTACAAATAGTTGTAAGCCCACTACTAGTATTAATTGTGAACCTAAAAGGTCACACCTAAATTTGAATGAAGGTAAAATTCAAATAGTAATTCTAAAGAGTAGAATTAATTGACAAATCTAATTTGATTAGATGTCAATTAAAAGAATATATTAAAATAATCAATTGGATTGATTAATTGAATTTTGGATATTAATTTAGTAATTAATGGAATTACTAATTAATAGTTGGAATTTAAAATTAGATTTTAAATTTCAAATCCAAATAATAATAAGATTATTAAATGAGGAAATGGAAGAAAAGATTAAAATAATAAAGTCTTGAAAGATGCTTTCAAGAATTATTATTTTATTATTTTATCTTTAATATGATTAAAGATTAAATATTAATAAGAATAAATTAATTATGGTGGTTTAAAGTTGTTAACCACTTCACATAATTAATCTTATTTTTATTAATAGAATATTGGGTGGGGAATAGTCTTATTCAAGACTTAATATTTTATGAAAATATTCTTGAAGACTTTTTATATTTTATGAAAATATTCTACCCAATATTATTATTTTATACTAAAATGTTTAGTATAAATATGGACATATTTGATGTTCAAATTTGCTAAGTTCTTCCAAGAGATATTGAGCTTAAGAGTTGAGCTAAGAATAACATTCAAGTGTTGAGTGATAAAACAAGAAAGAGTTCTTGTAAAATTTCCTCATATATATTTATATTCCATACTTATTGAAAAACCGAGTAGTTTCTACTAGCGAAGAAACTATTGTCGGAACCGGATTTCAAAAGATGGATACTCTTAGAGGGAAGACATTTGGATTCCTAAAGCGAGTAACATCAAGGAGTGGACGTTACCAAACCGGGAATTGATTTCTTCATACATCATCGTTTTTGAAGGAGTTCAAGAATAAAGGTAAATTTTGAATTTACTTACAACAAATCAAAATTTGTATTATTACATGTTTTTAAATGATGACGATCTATGCAATCGCTATATGTACGTATGGGTTGAGTATTTATACGATAAATACTTGTTTTTGAAACATAATTTTCCGTTGCTTATAACCCGTATGGTACAGGCGAACCCAACAGTTTTGTCATCGTAGAAGGACCAATATAATTGAAAGAAAAAAACTTCAACATAATATAATAAGTATATATATTCTTGTACAACATGATTATCGAGGATGAACGTGACCTAAGTGCACCAATTGAAATTAAGATGGAAATGACGCTGCTGGAGGTCGAAATGACGATAGATGAAAATACTCTATTTCAAAAATTCATATCTCAGTACAACAAAGTCAGAAATAAAGATGTTCACATTTTGTATAATCATTTGTGGAGGAATACACTAATTCCGAGACTTGAAAGACGAATTGTATGAATGATTTTTCTTATGTACGTCTTAATGTATTTTTTTAGATCGTGTTGTGTAATTTTTTTGTCTGAATATTTATTTTTATGTTTATCATGGGACGAATAGTTATTTTATAATTATTATTATTACATATTTTTCTAAACAAATTTAAAACAATAGTGTGGTCGAATTTGTGAAGTTGTGAAATATGTGAGTAATGTAATATTGAAAAGTTGTAAAAAAATGTTGGAAAATAAAATATTCTGATAATATTTTTTGAGTTTTTACAATGTTTTTTTTTTTCAGTTAGATATGAATTATTATTTAACGTGAATTGTTCACGATTGACTTTTTGCATTGTAAATAAATATAATCATAATGCCATTGGTTTGCACTCGGCATTAATATTTTGGCACATGTAAATTGCTGTTTCTGACTTGTAAAAGCTGCCCAATTACGACCGCGTTTGAGCTTTCTCACTACCTCTGTCAACCTCTTCAAAACTCCTCAAATTATAACCAAAAAATAAAAAAAGCGTAAAAAGAATATGTTGTGTTGCCAATGTCCATACGCCAAAGCCAGATACATGACAGTTATTACTGTTATAATATTCACAAATACTCGCTTTTACCTATTTTCTTTTTTCAACACAAAAGAACAATTTTAAATACTTTATTTTACACAAACCCAAACCAAACGCGGATTTGTTCTTTCCTTTTACAATTCCACAAAGGAAACCCCTTTCCTCCACTTGTTCTCCACTTCCCATTGTTCATATACAAATACAGCACACCACACCACACCCAAACCAAATTCATTCCCCTAAATTCATTCTTCACATTCCCCAATTGTTTTCCCAAATTTTACTTCACGAACCCAATTGGCCCAAATTCACTCCAGCAACAATGGCGGAAATCAGAGCTGCGGACGAGTACGGAGATGGGGTTTCCTGGTTCAGGGGCTCCATCATCGGAAAAGGAGCTTTCGGGACTGTCTATTTAGCCACTCTCAAGAACCCCACATCAAAATACAGCTCCTTCCCCTCACTAATGGCGGTCAAATCGGCCGAGGTTTCTCTTTCCGGCTCGATTCAGAAAGAAAGGGAAATTCTCGGCAACCTCAAGGGCTGTCCCTCCATAATCAAATGCTTCGGCGAGGAGACGACAGTCAGCCCTAACGGCGCCATGGTTTACAACCTGCTGCTCGAGTACGGCTCCGGCGGAACCCTAGCCGGCCGGATCAGGACATCCAACGGCGGCCAGGGGCTGCCGGAGCACGAGGTCAGGTCCTTTACGCGGTCAATTCTAAAAGGTCTGAGCCACATCCACGGGCTTGGCTACGTCCACTGCGACTTAAAGCCCAGCAACATACTTCTCGTGAACAGAGGCCGCCAGTTCCGGGCCAAAATTGGGGATTTCGGGCTGGCCAGGCGAGCCGGGCTTTGCCAGAAGAGGAAACTCGGGCCCTACTTGCGGGGCACGCCCACGTACCTTTCCCCCGAGGCCGTGCTCGAAAACGAGCAGGAAGGGCCAAGCGATGTGTGGGCCCTCGGCTGCATCGTGCTCGAGATGCTGACCGGAAAACCTCCGTGGGCCTCGCCGGAAAACGAGCCGAGTGCTCGGGAGATTATTGCAAGAGTCGGGGTTGGCCGGGAAGTGCCTAGGGTTTCGGGTGGGCTTTCGAAGGAGGCCCGTGATTTTCTAAAGGGTTGTTTTGTTCGGAGGCCCGAGTTTCGACTGACGGCTGAGATGCTATTGAATCACCCGTTTGTGGATTGTGAGGATTGTGAGGAAGTTGATGAGGTGGAGGATGTGGATGAGTTTGAGTCGATTTTGTTTGTCTCTGATAGTGATGATGAGTTGGTTACTTTCGACTCGAGTGGTTATTGGTCGGGAGATGAAAATGAGATCATTTTGTCGGGTATTTCGGAGGAAAGGGAGTTGGGAGTTATGGAAAATGGAGGATTAAGGGGCTCTGATGTTGATGTTGATGTCGAGTTTGGTCGGCCGAAGAAGAAGTTGAAAGAGATCGCGAGTCGAGTTTATCCGGTTAGTTTTAAGGTGCCTGCAGGTGTTTAGGGAGAAAAAATTTGTCGACATTTAATTGATGGATTAAATTTTGATGTTGAGAAAGCTGTAGCTAGGTTTGGCATTCTTTAGAGGGCCTTTGTTGTGGGCTATACTATAGGCTTTTTATGTAACACTAAAGAGAAGGTTGGAATTAGCTTGATTCTTTTATGACTGATTTCTTTGAGTTTTCTTGCTCATTTCAGATTCATGAGAAATGGTTGTATTACCATTTTGTTTGGAGAGAATTATTTTGAGAATTAGCATTGAGTTCAATATCTTGGATGCATTTGATTGAGTTCAATATCTTTTTTATTTTATTGGGGCATTGTTTTAACCATTTTGTCTTGAATCTCTCTCAATATTCCTTATGATACATATTGTTTCACGGGTTCACAATATCTTTTTTATGCATCCTGATTCCTGCATACACTTTGACAAAATTTGAGTTTGTTATCTTCAAAAGTAGTCTCTATAATTAAAGAGCTTGCATACAATAAGTGACCCCCTTTTGACAAATTCTTAAATGATCAACAAATGGAATTTGTACTGTTCCATATTAATGGTAAGACTCTACTAAAACTTTAGAAATATTCATCTATAAATTTCTCTCTTTTGCCTCCACCAGACGATAAGGAGGTTGAAGAGGGAGATTATTTCAAGTCCGAGAGGATTACCTATATCTCGTATTTAATTTTTTTCTCTAAAGAGAGTTGAAGATGAAGATATAGGGCGGTTTGTGATGTGCTTCTGCACTTGAACCGGCCTCCCTCCAACCCTCGACCGCTCCAAGACCTGCAAAGACGCCGGGAGGTGCTCCCGGCGGTAAACCTCCGACGCTCAAGTCAGTAAGAGATCAAAGATAGAAGGAAGCTGTGTATAGAATTTAGGGTTTTTAGATTGATTACCCTTACCTCTTCCCATGGTTTACCTATTTATATGAAGTTATTAGCTTTCCCAACACGCTTTGTTCTTCCTCTGTTAGATCGTTTATTCTATTTTGATCCTGACGCTACGCGTGTCCCTTATAAACCGTTCTTCGTAACTGCTGCATCTGCTCAGCCCCTAGCCTAATTCTAGACTACCGTCTTCCGTGCTCCTGGACTAGCTAAATTGCTCAGTAATCCGAGCAAGCTATTATCCGTCCACCACGTTACACCTTTATTTAGACTGCCCCCTTAGCCGAGCTGATTAACGCCGAGCTAATTAGGGCCGAGCTGCTCATTAGTTGAGCTCCTTATGTCAAGCTGATTCCAAACTTCACTAGCTTCGGTTTGTTTAAACCGAACAAGTTTCTTCCGGTTCACCGAGCTAATATTACGTGTTATATCAGTTTGGGATGAGATTTCACATTTCACCAATTTGGCCCCGTTTGGTAGATAGCGGATTGAAGATAAATTAGCGGATTGGACTTAATTGAGAGGTTTGACCCGTCAAATCCGCTATTGAGCTTGTTTGGTAAATAGCTTATTTGATAAGCTTTTTGGGCCCAAAACTCTAATTTAGAAAAAGCTCATTAGAGCAGCTCTTTGGGATAGAGGATTCACAATTGACAGGTTTTATTTAGAACTTTTTAATTTGTCTTATTTATTTTACAATCTACATTGGTTTATAAAGCTAATAAATAATAATATGTCATCCATATAATTAATTTATCTAGAAAAATGTAAAATTCATAACTTCTTCATCAAGTGTTAGTAAATTTAAAAATATATATATATATATATATTTATAAATTACCAATTAAATAATATTAAATGTTTTAATATATTATTATTAAAAGAATACACCCTAAATAATAAATGTCTTTATTGGTCATTTTGCAATATCATACAGCTATAAGCTTTCAGCTATTTACCAAATACTTATTTAAAAACCGCTAATGCAATTCACTGGTCAAATCAGCTAATATAATCTGTTATTCGCTATCCGCTGATACAATCCGCTATCTGCTGATCACGAAACAATGTTTAATTTCATTGGATTAATACATGTCAATTCATCAATAAAAAAAAGGAAAAAAATTAAAACATGATTTTCTAACAAATAATATTTTCCCGTTTAAGGGGCTCTAGCATTAAACGTTCAGTAATCTGGATTGGAGAAAAATCGAAGTTAGTTTTTTTTGGCAATGCTTTCCAATCTTATTCTATTTACTGAATTTGCTCCGGTTATGGCTACTGCCAATAGCCCTTAGTTGAGAATTGGACGTGTAAAGCATATGGAGGAGAACTTATTATGGTAAAAGGTCAATTACATCGAGCCAAGAAACGAGCTCTCACTAGTTGATATATAGATACTCATCTTGATTGAGCCCTATTTTTTTCACAATGAAAGACACTAACATTAACACAACTCCTATCCCCTGAGGTTCTGTTGTAACCCAGTTATCTCCTACACTAATTTTGTGCACACTGTTCTTAGAAGGCTTTTTTGTTTTTTGTTTTTTTTGTCACAAAATAAAGAAAAATGGGGGTGATAAAATCTCCAAGACTTTTTTTAGCTAGAAATTGTAGAAGATCCACCCAAACCTCTACAATTCCACACTCAAGCTAACATTTATCACCTTGTGGCCAATCAAGGCTAACCTCCTCCACCGTTGCTTCTGTCAATTTTTGTTTTTTCCCCTTTCCCCTAGTTTCAATAAAAGTTTACTTTTTAAAAAAAAAATGTTTGATTTAATCATTATTTATCACATTGTGTATAAAAAATATTTTCAATAAAAGTAGCATTCGTTTATCCAACATTTTTATAATTTAATTAGCAAAGTTAAAGAATAATCATTATTATATATTTTTGAAAACATTATTAATGGGTCAATTTTTCTAACTATTATCATTATCGATTGATATTTTCTATTTTATAATATATTTCTATTTTTTAGTTTCTCTATTTTTAGAAAAGATAAATATTAAAAAAAAAAAACAAAATCCGGTTACCTTTAGCCTTTAGGGTTAGTTAAAAGAAAAGAATCCTTTCACACAATAGATGACCAATTTTAAAGTTTGACTTTGGCAAGTTGGGATTTCGTATTTTATTCGAGGGTAGATTTTAGATTCGTTTAGGGATGCTCTACTTATGGGCTATGCTAATTCGTGCAATTGAGGCGGAGAACTAGATTGATTCTTTTTTTGACTAATTTATGTGAAATTTGCTACCTCCGGATTCGTCCTTTTCCTTTTTTCTTTAGATCTCATGAATAACTATTTTTAATTGAGTCAAAAAGTTATTTTGTTACTCAAATGATATTATTTTTTTGGTAATCATGTTCAAAGTTAATCATTTGAGTAATTTTTCCTTTAATTTATAGTAATATAAAGAGGTTGTTGGAAAAATACTTTAATAGTAAGTTTGACTCAAATAAATAAATAGTTTGACTTACTATTAATGGAAATTTTGAAAAAAACACATGTACCAAAAAAAATTGAGATTTTTATGGTAACAAATTTGGAGATTTTAATGGTAACAAATTTAATTGAGATATCCCAAAAAAATTGGAGATTTTTATGGTAACAAATTTGGAGATTCCTATACCAAAATTTAATTCATTTTAAATATTAATCCATATGAATCTACTTTTATTGGTAACAAATTTAAATATTGTTATGCCAAAAAATTGAGATTTTGAATTGAGATATTCCAACAATTACGGATTTTTTTCCTATTCAAATTAATGTTGTAAATCAAACAAAAAATTATTCTAAAAATAATGGATGTTATACCAACTATTGATAAACTCCAATCCCATAGGAGATTTCTATGGGATTCTTATGGTTGAGATTCTTATGCCAAAAAATTGAGATTTTGAATTCAGATATCCTTACAATTTCGGATTTTTCCCCTTCAAATTCATGATGTAAATCAAACAAAAAATTATTTCGAGAATAATGGATGTTATACTAAATATTGATAAACTCCAATCCATATGAGATTTTTATGGGTTTCTTATGGTAACAAATTGAAGATTCTTATGGTAACAAATTTGGAGATTCTTATACCAAAATTTAATACATTTTAAATATTAATCCCATAGGAATCTATTTTTATTGGTAACAAATTTGAAAATTCTTATGCCAAAAAGTTGAGATTTTGAATTGAGATATCTCAACAATTACGGATTTTTTTTCCATTCAAATTAATGTTGTAAATCAAACAAATAATTATTCTGAGATAATGGATGCTACACTAAATTAATATCACTGGGCCCACACGTTAATATGAAATTAATTAGATAGATAAATTACGTAAATCTTTCCTAACAAAATGCGTTCCAATATTGTTAACCAATTTAATGGGATTTTCTTAACTAATTTGATAAGATTTTGGTAACCACGGGATTTTGTTAGCTTTTCGTGGAAACACGAATCTTCATTATTGATAAGGTTTGATAAGATTTTGTTTCCAATTTTTTTTTCTGTTTTTTTTTCCTCTCTCGAAAATTTGATAAGGTTTGATAAGATTTTATTTCCTTTTTTTCTCTCTCTCGAAAATTTGAGTCGTGGATTTGAAAAAAATAAATAAATAAAATAAATATATCATATTGATAAAGTTTTAGTGTGGGTATAAAAATCTATTTTGATTTGATTGAACTTTGTTTCATATAAACCTAAGAGAATCAGACGTTTGAAAAAATAAAATATTAGTAGTAAATAATCATACCATATTTGTAAGGTTTGATTTGGAATATTGAGGCATAAAAATCAAATATGATTTGATCAAAATAAAAATATAATTTTTCAATCTATCCAAAAAGTCTTACCAAATTTCATTGTAACAAACTCTATTATTTTTGGCTACATAATCTTCTAAATATTGGTTCGTCCCTCAGAAGTGAATCACGTTCCACATTTTTTTTTTAATTTTTTTAACAAAACCGATAACACATATTTTTAGAAGTCAATCACAATCATAATAAAAAAAATCGAATCGGATCATATTAAATACCTTACGTAAATATTTTTTTTATTTCTTAGACATATGGCACATACACATGACTATATTAACATCACCAA